GGAAATTATTTCAGAATTTATGGGAATTAAAAATATAATTCCGGTCCCAGTCAAAAACAAAAATTTGAAATCAAGGGCACGTTCAAATCAAGTGCAGATCTTGTGCATATTAGGTGATTATATGTGCAAATTCGTACATTTTTTTATCTCGCGAGCGTTTGCGGGAATGAATAATAATTCAAAATAAATGGAATATGATATTCTTTAATATTAATTCGTTAATGTTATGTTTTGAGACATAACCGAAATATTTAATATGATAATATGACATGCAAAAATAAAATTGTTAGTGTTCACGATTCCTGTTAAAAAATAAAATTGTTAGTGTTCATATTACTATTGGCGTATTAGTTTAAACATTAGATATTCATATTAGAATTAACGTATTATTATTAATATTAGTTCATATTAATATTAATATTATTAGTGTTGATTTTAGTATTAATATTAGTATTGGTATTAGTATTTTCAATGTTGGTTTTAGTATTAGTAGTAGTAGTTGTTGTTAGTGTAATATTTGTGTTAATATTAAGGTGGCATAGGCTATTGTACGCCGCAATATCCAGAGTTAAAAGTAAATTTGAGATAAAGATATTTATCAACTCAGAATCGGGCGATATAACTAAAATTACGAGCAATGTTGTGTGCACAAAAGATTTTTAGCGGATATGAAGGTAAATCACAAATAAATGTATATTATGATTCAATAAAATAGTTTTTGGGTATTGTTTACATGTATGTCAACTGCTCAAAGTTTTCGTTCGTTTTATTTTATCCAAAATAAAAAAAAAACATTTGATCCCGTGCATCGTACGTGTGAATTACTAGTAGTCTTTAAATCGTTTTATTTGTTCAAAGCTTTTAAATTGTTTCATTAATAGATAAACTTATTTATAAATGAAAGAAATTATGTAAGTCCAAAGTGGTATCCGAAAGAAATAGTTATCATTAAAAATAATCTTCTTCAGCAGCAAATCGTATTTGGATATATAAAACGCAGAATTTGATTTTTCTAAAATCGGAAAAACAATTAATGATTGTTATTAAACCATTAAATAAAACACAGTCCTGTTGGGTGCTAAATACCAACACGCAAGTGCACGTATCGCAAACAAGTAATAAAGTGGACTCGTGAGAGTCGGATGTCGATCCCACAGGGAATACGCAAATTACCTAATCCTAAGTACCAAATTCTAACAATTATGATTTTTATCCAGCCCACGCAAGTTTGTCAAATTAAATCAATTAAACAACTAAACTAATTAAGAAAGCAAATAAACAAAAGAAAATATCAATAAAACTGACCTAGGATTTTATCTTCCCCCTGTGCAAGAATTGCTCACCCAAAACCCCTCAATTATGAAATATATGATTCATGATTATTAACCCGAGACACTAATTTACTCACAACCCGCTGTCGCGTGTATTATGAGTCTATTATCCATACACGGTTCACTATATGTCTATGCAAACCAATTATGAATAAAGCATTAACTAACAAGTCTCGTAAATGGCTACCTAAGGTGATATCTGTATGTCTACGACACCACATGCAATTGACACACTCATCCGGTGAAAACTACTCGAAGGTTCTTCTACTTACCGTCTAATTATCAAAATAGCTCTGTCGAGTCAATCCCAATAATCACAGATAAAGCACATAAATTGATCAAGTTCATGCACTAACAATCATATCAAGTAGAAGAAATAATCATAAAATCATAATTGCATAATCTCAAGAAAACGGGTTCACCATCCCCACATAGGGTTCCAACAAAATCCTAGATTAAAAGCTTAGCTACTCGTAATTCTTATGATAAATAAAATAGAATTAATAAAAGAAATAAGAAAAACTATGCTTGAGTCTTCGTTGATCTTCGTTCTTCGCTCCTCTCGCTCCAAGCTTGTGTCCAAAAAAAGTCCTTGATTCGTGCTTGGTTTGGTCTTAAATAGATGCCCCAACTTGGTAGATGATTTTAGGTTTCCTTGTGTGATTAAAAGTCCAAAATTGTGTCCAGCGTGTGTTGGCGCGGCCGCGCGAAAATCAGTGCAATTCTCGCACGGCCGCGCGAGAATCGTCGAACCTTCTGCCCAAATTCAGCATTTGGCACGGCCGTGCCAAAAATAGGCTAATTTTGGCACGGCCGTGCGGGCCTATTTTCAGCCAATTTCAGCATATTTTTGATCATTTCACTTTTGGCCCATATTTTCTCCAAATTTGCAGTTTTGACCCCAAACTTTTCCAATTCTTCAATTTATACCTAAAATACAATAAATCATCTTTTTAAGCACCAATTATCGTTAATTCACACAAAAAAGCTCAAATAAACAGATACGATAAAGTGTAAAAATATACACTTAACACACCCCCAAACTTGATCTTTTGCTTGTCCTCAAGCAAAAACTAGCAACTTTCACAGCAACACTCTCAACAAATGCCTCTCATCACATAGATTAATGGTCAACTTTCATTTTTTCAGAAACTTGCAATTATCATGACAATTCTCAAAAATATACAAGCTCGTAATTCAAAGATACGTATTCACTCACCATTGCTAAAAACCACAAACCATGCTATCGCTTCAAGTATCCCATATTTGTACATTAAAAATGGAGAAAATTTATACTTACATAATAATATTCAACTCCAAAGACTCACGAAATTTCTTTACTCGGCTAGTATCAAATAATTGAGCTATTGGGATCATTGGGACTTTTTGGCTTTCAAATATTGGGCTTTTTGGTTCGAGGTAGGAGATA